GTGTTGCAAGGAAGGCAACAGTAAAGGGGAGAGGGGGACCTACAATGGTATAAGGTCTTTTCACTGTCAACCTGCTGTACTGACAGGCAAGGAAATATTCTCTAAGGCGTTTATATATCTAATCCTCACTGGAAAGCAGAGAAAAATTATAAAACCTGAAACTCTGTTTTATGGATTTCCGAATGATTACATATTTATTTCAACCTGTTACTCAAATGAAAAAACTTGTAGGGATCTTTGATTCCTTCTTCAACCATACCTATTTATAATTAACTATTAAATCCTTTCAAGTATTTCTCCCCTCTTTGATTTATCTGCGTACACACTAACCTAACCCTAACCTTCACCTTCTCACCCATTGCCCTTACATCCCTGATCCTAAAAACAATGACAGTTAGAAAAAAGAGAAGACCATTTTCTGATGAACATAGTTCCAAAAATACTCAACAAAATCCTAGCAAACTGAATAGAGCAACATGTCAAGAGAACAATCTACCAGAATCAAGTGTGCTTCCTAGGAATGCAGGGCTGGCCCAGTGTACACAAATCAATCAATGTCAGTCATCAGATGAACACACAGGCAAACAGAAATAATATGATTATCTCAATAGATGCAGTAAAAGCCTGATAAAACTCTTAACTTCATTTTCTGATCAAAAAAACTAAACACTCAAAATAAAAAATGGAATTTATGTAAATATTAAAAACCCATATATAACAAACCCATATATAAAACCTATATATACAAATTTTCAATAGTGAAAAGCTGAAATCATTCCACTAAGATCAGGAACAGGCCAGAGGTACAGGAGTGGTGAAAGGATCCATCAGACAGAGTTGGAGGCAGAACAGGGGTGTACTGTCTAAGTACACTGCTGAAGGGAGCAACGGGCGGGTCAGGAGAGGTCTGCTGTGCCATGTGGCTCACCTCCAAGGTGGGGATTGAACTCATGCTTAAGTAGCTTCAGCTTCTTAGTGCTGTGCTTTAACCCACTGTGCCACAAGGGAGGACCCTATCACCACTTTTTAACATAATCCTGGAAGTCTTAGCTGAAGCAATTAGGCAAGAAAAAGACATGAAATTAATCCAAATTGGAAAAGAGATGAAATTGCTACTATTCAAAGATGACAAGCTAATATATTTAGAGAAACCAAAAGAATCTTAAAAAAAAAAAACTTACACAAATAATAAATGAACACAGCACATTGGCAAGATGCAAAATCAATACAGAACAACCATGCATTTCTATATGCAAACAACATGTAAAGAGAAAGGGAAATCAGGGATAAAAATTCCATTTACAATCACACCACAAAGAATGAAGTAAGTGGGAGATAATTTAACAAAAGTGGTGAAGGAGCTGCATACTAAAAACTGTAAAGCTCTATTATAGGAAATAAAAGGTACAAAGAAATGGAAAGATATCCTCTGTTCATGAATTGGAGAAATAACATTAAAATGGTCACACTGTTGATGGAAGAAGGAATGCAGGGGAGCATCACAAGACAGAGTCACACAGAGGGGACAGATAGAAGGAGCTAGTGGAGCAACTGACACAGCCAGAACATCAAGGTCCTCAGGCACCAAAGCCCAATGTCCAGGATGCCCGGATGCCTGGATGTCTCCAAGAGGTCCTGGCAGATAACAGACTGTTGGGGGCTGTGCCTGAAGCTCAGACCTGAA